TGTCTAGATACATCTTAAATGACGCTATCGTGACCGCCTCTACCACCTCCGCTGGCAACGCGTTCCAGGCACCCACCACCCTCTGCGTAAAGAACTTTCCACGCATATCTCCCTTAAACTTTTCCCCTCTCACCTTGAAATCGTGACCCCTAGTAATTGAGTCCCCCACTCTGGGAAAAAGCTTCTTGCTATCCACCCTGTCTATACCTCTCATGATTTTGTAGACCTCAATCAGGTCCCCCCTCAACCTCCGTCTTTCTAATGTAAATAATCCTAATCTACTCAACCTCTCTTCATAGCTAGCACCCTCCATACCAGGCAACATCCTGGTGAACCTCCTCTGCACCCTCTCCAAAGCATCCACATCCTTTTGGTAATGTGGCGACCAGAACTGTACACAATCAGTGCAACATCTACACTACAGATGGAAATGGCTTCTATTAATGAAGGCTCTCTATTCTAGGACTCCGAGACTGCTACAAAACTTCTGTTGATCCAATTTTTCATTTAGTTGAGTCAATAATTCAGTTGCAGCAAAATGTTTCAGCTCCAAAGGTTCTAATACAATGGGTTATTTTCTAGTTTATTTTTGCAGAGACCACACCTGGATACCAGGGTAAAACCCTGACTTCATACATCAATGACCAGAAAGTGCTGAAAAGGGTCAGAGATTCAGGCAGGATCTGTCGAGAAAGAAAGATTTCAGAGGAAAGCTCAGAACAATGACCTTCCATCAGAAATTCTCTTCCCAAGAATGTGGCGTCCAAATCAGGCCTTTGACATGACCTTCAGTCACTATGATCCAGCAAACTCCAATCAGATTAATGACAACATTTAAGAGGCACTTAGACACAGGCAGGGAATGGAGGGATTCGGACCATGTGCAAACAAATGGGATTAGTTTAGAATGGCACCATTGTCAGCACAAACATAATGGGCTGAAGGGCCTGTTCCTGAGCTGTACCGTTCTATTTTCTATTAACACCCGACTGTAACTTTATACTAACTCATATTTAAAGGTACTTTTGTGACAAATACCTTTGGTGGTTCCAGCTCAGGGACACCGTTTTCTGTGCCATCAACAACTTCTTGAGCATCAAGGAGGATTGTCCAACGATCCATAAGGACTTCTTCTGCTTCATCAACTGCAACCAGAATGGAGAAGGGATCCTCACCACTATAGCCAGGTCCCCAGCGTAACACCCTTGCTAGGTCATTGCCTTAAGAAAGAAAAGTTTGTAGATATTATCAATGTAGTGACGGTTCATTAAATCCAAGTGAGTTTCCATCTGTGGCTTGAAATGGCCCCAGTGGCTACATAATGATCCATGTTACTGATCTTAAGATTCAGCTACTTTGGCATTCTTGATTGAACAGCTAAGGGATATTGCCCTTGCCATAAACAATCCTCTTAGAATGCAAAGGAACCCATTTGGAGCTTACAGCAAAACCTGAAGATTTAGCAGGGAAACATTTTGTCAAAATAACACATATTACAGAAAAATATTCTCCACTTGGTGATCACTGTCAAAACCATAATTTGCTATGAATCAAGCTTGTATTGGTTGGGTTGAGTGATTTCTAATTAACACAAAGAAAATCCCTCAGCCTCGCAACTATATGAGAAGAGATTTCTCCTGTTACTGTTCTAAATCTCTGTATCTAATCTTGTATCAACAACCCATGATTCTAGACTGCCACTTCTTGGATACAGATTCACTTCTGGGAGTCTAAATATACATGCATGATAGTTGCTAATAAATCCAGGGAATTCAGAAGAAACTTGTTAACTCAGAGAATGATGAGACATTGGAACTTGGTACCATAGACAGTAGTTTAGATGATTAGAAGGGAATGTTGATTATTCATGGGAGAAGGGAATACAAGGATACATTAATAGTGTTAATTGAGGAGCAGTGGGAGGAGCTCATGTGATGCATATAGACCTGGTACAATTTGGCTGGGATGAAATGTGCATTAAATTGTGTCTAGGCAAAAACTGCACTGCAGCAGCTAGAATTTGGAAACTGAACGAGGATATTTCCCTCACGAGTGCAGCCCACTCTTTCTGCATATTCTCGACACACCACTCAGCCCATGCCCACTGCTTTCCCCCACCCTCACCTGTTCCTAAAGGTAGCACAGCAACTGGAGGCACTGGACAGTTCAGCTTGTGTCGAATCTCCTCCAGCACACCCAGAACCCAACCAACTGTTCCATCTCCTCCGCAAACCAATATTCGGAAATACGGAACCTCTCGGAATGTATGCAGCCTGAAGGTGAAGGTGAGAAACAAAATTTCATAACGCAAGAAGCATTTTAGCTCATAAACAGACTGCATGACAGTGTCAGAATCAAAAGTGACTCTTTGAACACGTTTTATCATCCAATAAGATCATAGCAGATGTATATCAATTTCAGTTTCCTTTTTCATCCCATATCTTGTAATTCCTTTAATGTCCAAAAATCAATTGTTTTCAACTTCAATATATTCATCCACAAATGGGCTGAAGAGTGGTAGATGGAATTTAATCTAGATAAATATGAGGTGCTAAATTTTCGTAAGGCAGATCAGGGTAGAACTTATACACTTAATGGTAAGGTCCTTGCAGAGTGTTGCTGAACAAAGGGACCTTGGAGTGCAGGTTCACAGTTCTTTGAAAGTGGAGTCGCAGGTAGACAGGGTAGTGAAGGCAATGTTTGGTATGTTTGCCTTTATTGGTCAGTGCATTGAGTATAGGAGTTGGGAGGTCATATTGTGGCTGTACAGGACATTGGTTAGGCCACTTTTTGAGCACTGCGTTCAGTTCTGGTCTCCCTGTTAATGTGTGGAGGTGCTGACGTTGGACTGGGGTGGACAAGGTCAGAAGTCACATGACACCAGGTTATAGTCCAACAGGTTTATTTGAAATCACAAGCTTTCAGAGCGCTGTTCCTTTGTCAGGTGAAGTGGAGAGAAGCACACAGGCACAGAATTTATAAGTGGACAGACCAAAAGATAGTACAAATGGTGTGAGTGCAGTGTTGACAGGCTGAATAACAAGTCTCCGCATGTGTCAGACGGTGTGAATCAAACGTCAACAGCTGAATGACAAGTGAAAGGATGTCCTATAATCCGATTAAATGAGGCAGAGAGATAATTACAAAAAATTAAAAATAAGATGGTGCTGGACACAAACCAAACGGCTGGAATAACATGACAGGTATAACAGTCCCAAATCCTGAAGTAACAAGTAATCCAAAACTGTACAGATTTATTAAGGTAGAGAGATCATAATTGTGTTCAGTTCTGGTCCCCTCATTATAGGAAAGATGTGGAAGCTTTAGAGAGGGTGCAGAGGAGATTTATCAGGATGCTGCCTGGACTGGAGGGCAGGTGTTATGAGGAAAGGTTGAGGGAGCTCGGGCTTTTTTCATTGGAGCGAAGAAGGATGCGAGGTGACTTGATAGAGGTGCACAAGATGATGAGGGGCATAGATAGAGTGGATAGCCAGAGACTTTTTCCCAGGGTGGAAATGACAATTACGAGGGGGCATGATTTTAAGGTGATTGGAGAAAGGTACAGGGGAGATGCCAGAGGTAGGTTCTACAGACAGAGAGTGGCGGGCGTGTGGAATGCGCTGCCGGCAGTGGTAGTGGAGGCAGATAATTTGGAGACTTTTAAGTGACTCTTAGATAGGTACATGGAGGATAGTAAAATTAGGGTATGCAGGGTAGATTGATCTTAGTAGGATAATAGGTCGGCACCACATTGTGAGCCGAAGGGCCTGTACCGTGCTGTACTGTTCTATGTTCTTTATCAAGGTGATGGTTACAAAACAGGACAGTAAGGAAGATTTTACAGACACAGAACATGTGGTGGGGTTATACGTAGCGCGACATGAACCCAAGGTGACAGATGAGGCCATCTTCATGGGTATGGAACTTGGCTATCAGTTTCTGCTCAGTGATTCTGCGTTGTTGTGTATCTCGAAGTCCGCTTACCCGAAGATCGGAGGCTGAATGTCCCTGACTACTGAAGTGTTCCTTTACTGGGAGGGAACATTCCTGTTTGGCAATTGCTGCGCGGTCCATTCATCTGTTGTCATAGCTTCTGCATGGTCTCACCAATATAACATGCCTTAGGCCACCCTTGCCTGCAGCGTATGAGATAGACAACACTGGCTGAGTCACATGAGTACCTGCTGTGTACATGGTGGGTGGTGTTCCCACGTGTGATGATAGTATCCATGTCGATGATCTAACATGTCTTGCAGAGGTTGCCGTGGCAGGGTTGTGTGGTGTTATGGTTGCTGCTGTCCTGAAGGTTGGGTACTTTGCTGCGAATGATGGTCTGTTGAAGGTTTGGTGGTTGTTTGAAAGCGAGAAGTGGAGGCGTAGGGATGACCTTGGTGAGATGTTCATTGTCATTGATGACATATTGAAGGCTGTGAAGAACATGGCATAGTTTCTGCGCTCCAGGGAGGTACTGGACAATGAATGGTATTCTATTGGTTGGGTCTTGTGGCTGTCTTCTAAGGATGTTGCTGCGGTTTTTCGCTGTGGTACATCCGAACTGGCGATCAATGAGTTAAGCATCGTATCCGTTCTTATGAGGGTGTCTTCCAGCATCTTTAGGTGTCTGTTGTGTTCCTCCTCGTCTGAGCAGATCCTGTGTTTACGCAGGGCTTGTCCGTAGGGGATGGTTTCTTTAACATGTTTAGGGTGGAAGCTAGAGAAGTGCAGCATCATGAGGTTATTTGTAGGCCTGTAGCAGGGAGGTACTGTAGTGTCTGTCCTTGATGGAGATGCGTGTGTCCAAGAATGAGACTGATTCTGAAGAGTAGTCCATAGTAAGCCTGATGGTAGGATGAAACTAGTTGATGTTGTTGTGTAGTCATTTCAGTGATCCTTCACCAAATTTGAACTTCAATACGCCAACGTTCTCACACACAAGTCTGAGCAAGACTTCTTTGCTGCACAGGACCTCCAATCAATGCTACACACCAGATACATTGACAATATTTTCTTCCTTTGGACTCATAGTGAGGAATCACTGAAATGACTACATAGTGACATTAACAAGTTTCATCCCACCATCAGATTCACCATTGACTACTCTTCAGAATCATTCTCATTCTTGGACACACATCTCCTTCAAGACAGGCATCTCAGTACCTCACTCTACCGCAAACCCACGGATAACCTCATGATGCTGCACTTCTCATCCCAATGCCTCCACTTCTCACCTTCAAACAGCCACCAAACCTTAAACAGACCATCGTTTGCAGTCAGCGTTCAGGACAACAGTGACCACAACACCACACAACCCTGCCACGGCAACTTCTGCAAGACATGTTAGATCATCGACATGGATACTACCATCACACGTGGGAACACCACCCACTACATTCAGGCAGGTACTCATGCGACTTGGCTAATGTTATCTACCTAATATGCATGGTATATTGGTGAGACCATGCAGACGCTACGACAACGGATGAATGGACATTAGCAATTGTTGCCCGTCAGGGATGTTCTCTCCCTATGGGGGAACACTTCAGCGGTCAAGGACATTCAGCCTCTGATCTTCGGGAACATGTCCTCCAAGGCGGCCTTCGAGATATACAACAACGCAGAACTGCCGAGCAGAAACTGATAGCCAAGTTCCTTACCCATGAAGGTGGCCTCAACCATGATCTTGGGTTCATGTTGTGCTACATGTAACCTCACCACTGTTCTGTGTCTGTAAAATTTTCCTTATTGTCCTGTTTTGACACCATCACCTTGATAAATTGTTATGATCTCTCTACCTTAATAAATCTGTACAGTTTGAGATTACTTGTTACCTCAGTTAGACCCTTGGCATGCAACTCTTATACCTATCATGTAATTCCAGCCATTTGGTTGGATCATCTTATTTTTAATTTTTTGTAATTATCTATCTGCCTCAGTTAATCGAATCATAGGTCATCCCTTCAATTGCTATTCAGCTATTGATGCTTTACTCACACCACCTGACACTTATGATCGCCTGCAGAGACGCGTTATTCAGCCTGTCGACTCTCCACTCACCATTTGGATTACCTTTTGACCTTTCTGCCGATAAATTCTGTGCAAGTGTGGTTCTCTACACTTCATCTGACGAAGGAGCGGTACTTGGAAACCTTGTGTTTTCAAATAAACCTGGTGTGATGTGACTTCTGTCCTTGCTTTTTAGGAAAGATGTTGTGAAACTTGAAAGGGTTCAGAAAAGTTCCACAAGGATGTTGCCAGGGCTGTAGGGTTTGAGTTAAAGGGAGAGGCTGAGGCTATTTTCCTTGAGAGAGCCAGATGTTGAGGGGGGACCGTATAGAAGTTTATAAAGTCAGAGGGGCATGGATAGTGTGTTTAGACAAGGTCTTTTCCCCAGCGTAAGGGAGACCAAAACTAGAGTGCATAGGTATACGGTTAGAGGGGAAAGATTTAAAAGAAACCGAAGGGGCAATCTTTTCACACAGAGGGTGGTGCGTGTATGGAATGAGCTGCCAGAGGAAGAGGGAGAAGCAGGCATAATTGCAACATTTAAAAGACATCTGGATGGTCATATGAATAGGAAGGGTTTAGAAGGAAAAGGGCCAAATGCTGGATCTGTGGGAAGCTAGGGAAGTGATTGCTGGACCCTTTGTTCAGATATTGGTATCATCAATAGCCACAGGTAAGGTGCTGGAAGACTGCAGGTTAGCTATCACAGTGCCACCATTTATGAATGGTGCTAAGGAAAAGCCTGACATTGGTGCTTATCAAGTTGTTGGAGGGAATCCTGAGGGACAGGATTTACATGTATTTGGAAAGGCAAGGACTGACTAGGGATAGTCAGCATAGTTTTGTGGTGGGAAACAGTGCCTGAATTTTTTGAAGAAGTAACAAAGAGGATTGGCGAGGGCAAAGTGGTGGACATGATCTATACGGACTTGACTAAGGCATTTAACAAGTTTCCTCACAGTAGACAAGTTAGCAAGGTTAGATCACATTGGATACAGGGAGAACTAGCCATTTGGATACAGAACTGGCTCGAAGGTAGAAGACAGAAAGTGGTGGTGGAGGGTTGCTTTTCAGACTGGAGGCCTATGACCAGCAGTGTGCCACAAGGATCGGTGTTGAGTCCTTTGCTTTTCGTCGTTTATATAAACGATTTGGATGTGTACATAGAAGGTATGGTTAGTAAGTTTGCAGATGACACCAAAATTGGAGGTGTAGTGGACAGTGAAGAAGGTTACCTCTTGGTACAATAGGAGCTTGATCAGTTGGGCCAGTGAGTGGCAGATGGGGTTTAACTAGGATAAATGCGAGGTGTTGCATTTTGGAAAGGCAAATCAGGGCAGGGCATACACATTAATGGTAAGGTCCTGGGAAGCATTGCTGAACAAAGAGACCTTGGAATACAGATTCATTGTTCCTTAAAAGTGGAGTCCCAGGTAGACAGGATAGTGAAGAAGGTGTTTTGTATGCTTGCCTTTATTGGTCAGTGCATTGAGTATAGAAGTTGGGAGGTCATGTTGCAGCTGTACAGGACATTGGTTAGGCCACAATTGGAATACTGTATGCAGTTCTGGTCTCCTTGCTATAGAAAGGACATTGTGGAACTTGAGAAGGTGCTGAAAAGATTTACGAGGATGTTGCCAGGGTTGGAGGGTTTGAGTTATAGGGAGAGGCTAAATAGGCTGGAACATTTTCCCTGGAGCGTCGGAGGTTGAGAGTGACCTTATGGAAGCTTATAAAATCATGAGGGGCATGGATAGGGAGAATAGCCAAGGTCTTTTCCCCGAGTGGGGAAATCCAAAACTTGACGGCAATGGTTTAAGGTGAGAGGGGAAAAAATTTAAAAGGAACCTAAGGGGCAACTCTTTCGCACTGAGAATAAACTGCCAGAGGAAGTAATAGAGGCTCGTACAATTAGCTCGATTAAAAGGCATCTGGATGGGTACATGAATAGGAAAGGTTTAGAGGGATATGGCCCAAATGCTGGCAAATGGGACTAGATTAATTTAGGATATCTGGTCGGCATGGACGAGTTGGACCGAAGGGTCTGTTTCTGTGCTGTACATCTCTATGACTCTGATAACTAATTGTCAAACACAATTGGCTCAAGTAAGTGGTTTAAGATACATTTAAAGAAAAACTTCTGTTAAAGTATTGACATCTCAGACTATGTTTATGAACACAAAATTCAAATCCATTTGTGATGTCATTTGAGCCTAGCATTAGAATCTGTTAGAGGCATCATTACTTCAACATCAAGGCCACAAATTTAATTTATTTGAGGATGCAAATTTTTTTGCTGAAAGCTCTAACTATTCAAACTCTTGTTTTCTGCATCACTTCTAACTGCTCTCTTTTATATGTTTTTCCACTCTTGAATAGCACAGAAGGACACCATTCAGTCCATCATGCCTGTGCCATTTCATGTTCTAAAACTAAAAGAGTGAGTTCAGAAACTCAGTACATCCACCAGCATCTGTGGACAGAAAGCAACATCAGGGATTCAGGTCCAGTGACCCTTCATTAGAACAAGTAGTAGCTAGGAAAGGGTGCTGAAGATGAGGATGGCGGGGTAAGTGATAGGAATGAGGGATAGGTAGAGATGGAGCCCAGAGGAAGAGAAAGACAGTTAGGCAGATGAAGGGAGGATAATGTTAAGCCAGGGAGGAAACCTGTTGACAGGGCTATAGGTTAACCCTAACCCCACAGTCCCTATTAGCAGCTTTTCTTTCGCCCTGTCTTAGCCCTTTGTCTGCCTAACTGTCTTTCCTTCCCTCTTGCCTCTGTCTCCAGCCATCATTCACTCCTTTACCCATTCAAACCTCCATCTTCAGCATAAATACCAGCTTTTCCTAGCTTCTCTTAGTTCTGATAAAGGGTCACTGGACCTGAAACATTGACTTTGCTTTCTGACCACACATGCTGCTGGACCTGCTGAGTTTCTCCAGCAATTTCTGTTTTTGTTTGAAAATGCTAAACCTTTGTTTGATAAAGATGATATGTACAAAATGACATTACCCAGAGAGAGGCCCTCCATTAGAAAGGTCAAAAACCTGATGGGGATTCAGAAGCTTCCGGAAGCTGTACAGAAGTTCTCGCCCTTTAAGGGCCCCACTCTTTGGATTAACAAAGAGAAGGAGAGGATAAGAATCCTGTGGTAGCTGTGTGACCTGATGGTGAAAACAAGTCCTTAATGAACAAAGAAACACTATTATCTCAGTTTCGAAAATGTTGGTACAAACATTGGCTGAATGTAAATCAACCAAAGCTAACTGGCTAAAGAAATGCTTTATGTAAAATGGACTTAAACATTCTTAACTAATAACACTCAAAAATGTGTTCACATATTAATAACACATAAAAGTAGAGAATAAACTAATGCTTAATTTGTGAAAGGGACAACAAGCACCACTGGCAAACAGTGTGCAACTCTGACATGTATTATAGCACTTGTGTGTGTATTTCCATATTTATTACTACACAAACAAACAAACCATCTAACATTCCTTAATGAGTCAGGTGTAGTGAATATAACTGACCATGATATAAAAAGGATAGTGAGGCACTGAAAAGGTTGTAGAGGAGATTTACAAGGATGACACCAGAAACATGGGGGTTTACATCATCAGTAAATGATTGACAGACTGGGCTGTTTCCTCCTGAAAAGTGGAGGCTGAGGGGTAACCCACTGGAGATGTTTAAAACATTGGAGTGGATACAGAGACAGTTTTCTCTCTTGTTGGGCAGAGCAAAAGAAGAAATCAATGTAAAATAATTAGGAATTCAGATCAAACATCTTTACTCAAAGATGGAAGATGGAATCCACTATCATAGGAAGTGGTTGAAATGAATGATGCATTTAAGGAGCAACTAGACAAACTAGCTAAACTGGAGGAAGAAGAATATAGAAGTGCATGTCCATAAATAAAATAATGAAGAATTATTTTATACATTTAATAACCTTTGGTAAAATTGCAAACTCCTCTACAAAGCAAGCACAATTATGCATTGCAGACAAAACAGAAGATAATAAATCCACAGTGTCGTCTGCAACAGTATATTTTTAAATGCTATGAAATATCCTTACACTAGTTTCAAACAATGTCTGAAGTATGTTTTTTATATATGTATGAATTTATAATACATGTATGATGTGAAGCTTTATGTGGGAGCATCAAGATCTGAGGTGTTTCCAATTTTCAGATCATATCACCAGAAAATCAGGAGGAACACAGGTCAGGAATGCACACACACAATTCTGTGATCCACATGGAGCAGGAACTTCAATGAACTATTCTCATTTGTTGGAGGCACTCAGAAGGAAATAGATCATCTTTCAAAAGTGTAACTGCCTATCATTTTCTAAGAATGTGGCTTCATGTGGACAGATATAGCAATACAGGAAACACAAAAACATACATGTTCTATAGGCATAGGCTAAGACAGACACTAAGACTATATGTAACTTCCTAATCTACATTCTAAAATTAACACTTACCTAAAATCCTTTGAGAAATCAGCTAACGACGAAAGACAGAAATTGGCAGAACAGAGAAATAAATGTCACACTCCATGCTGCAATACTTTGGTGTGATAGCTTAAATAAAAATTCCTTAGTCTCCTAGAACTGTTTCTTTTCATTGATGCAATGTGGTCACTACTGCAAATGGCCAGTATTTATTGCTGATCCATAATGGCCCTGGAGAGGGTGTTGCTAAGTCACTTTTTTGAACTACTGCAATCTGTTCAGTATAAGCACCCATAGTGCTATTAGGTAAGGAGTTCCAATATACTGACCTAACAACAGTGATCAGTAAAATTTAATTAAGTAGCAGTGTTTTTTTGGAATCTAGACATCAATACAGCCACTGCATCATTGTATGTAGCTAACACCCAAGTGTCTAAACCATCGTGACGCTGCACTAAGGCTCGCTGGAAATTGTCAAAAAGTGAAAAATTTTATCAAGGTACATAAGTCCCCAATTTACCTGTCAGATAGACTCAAGTTAATAAAAGACATGGACCAGGTTCCAGTACTTAATGAACATGACTATTTATTACAAATAAATAGATTTTAACCACAGGTAAACAACTATGAACCGTTGACATATAATTCAAGCATTTGAAACTCTAATTCCCTCATACACAGGCTGCGAAAAATACTGCCGTTATGGGTGGAGGGAGAAAAAGACCTTAGGAAGCAGTTCATTGGCCCCAGTGAATAGGGTTCACTGAGACTATCCTAGTGATTACCAGGATTTTCTGTTTAATTTCTTTTCTCCAAGTTCTTTTCACTTCTTTGCAGGAGGCACAGGCCATTGGCACGGTGACTCAGTGGTTAGCACTGCTGCTTCACAGCACCAGGTACCCGGGTTCAATTCCAGCCTCAGGCAACTGTCTGTGTGGAGTTTGCATGTTCTCCCTGTGTCTGTGTGGGTTTCCTCCCACAGTCCAAAGATGTGCAGGTTAGGTGAATTGGCCATGGTATATTATCTAGAGTGTTCAGGGATGTACAGGTTAGGTACATCAGCCATGGGTATTGCTGGGTTACAGGGATAGGGTGGGGGATGTGTCTGGATGGGATGCTCTTCAGAGGCTTGGTGTGGACTTGTTGGGCTGAATGGCCTGTTTCTATACTGTGGGAACTCAACTAACTTGAAGTTTCTTAGTTATTGATTAAAGGTCCAGCTCACGGCCTGGTATAGCAACTGCTCTGCCCAGGACTGTAAGAAATAACAGAAGGCGGTGTGCGTAGCCCAGATCATCACGGAAGCCAACCTTCCATCCATGGACTCCATTTACACAACTCGCTGCTGCAGAAAGGCTGCCAGCATCATCAAAAACCCAAAATAAAAACCGAAAGAACTGCGGACGCTGTAAATCAGGAACAAAAACAGAAGTTGCTGGAAAAGCTCAGCAGGTCTGGCAGCATCTGTGAAGAAAAAATCACAGTTAACATTTCCGGTGCAACGACCCTTCCTCAGAACTGATAGTAGCTGGGAAAATGTTGGTTTATGTGCAGAAAATAGGGAGGGGGATGGGGTAGGGAGTAAATTACAGGAAATAGCCCGAATAGAGAGAATGTATCTGACTCCACTACCACTGTGGGCAGCACATTCCACACACCCACCACTCTCTGTGTAAAGAACCTACCTCTGACATCCCCCTGAGACCTTCCTCCAATCACCTTAAAATTATGCCCCTTCGTAATAGCCATTTCCATCCTGGGAAAAAGTCTCTAGCTATCCACTCTATCTATGCCTCTCATCATGGGGTAGGGAGTAAACAACAGAGAAGAGATAGAACAGCATTGGATAGACAAAGGAATTGACAACGATCTGGTTAGGAGGGTGAATAGCTGTTAATGTTAATTTTAGGGCCTAAACTCTCCCATGTCCTAGCCCCCTACCCTACACACCTGGCCTTGTCATCACATAGCCTGCCATTACACACTACCTATTGTTTGTCACTAACAGTCTCCATTAATAACTATTCACCCTCCTAGCCAGATCATTATCAACTACATAAAAACCAAAAGAACTGTGGATGCTGTAAATCAGGAACAAAAACAGAAGTTGCTGGAAAAGCTCAGCGGGTCTGGTAGCATCTGTGAAGGAGAAAACAGAGTTAACATTTCGGGTCCGGTGACCCTTCCTCAGAACTGGGGAACCCACACCCTTCACAGATGCTGCCAGACCTGCTGAGCTTTTCCAGCAACTTTGTTTTTGTTCCTTATCAACTACTTTGTTTATCCAACTGCTCTTCTATCTCTTTGGGCTCTATCTTGTTAATTACTCCCTACCTCATCCCCCTCCCTATTTTCTGCATAAAAACCAATGTTTTCCCAGCTACCATCACAGTTCTGAGGAAGGGTCACCGGACCCGAAACATTAACTGATTTTTTTCTTCACGGATGCTGCCAGATTTGCTGAGCTTTTCCAGCAACTTCTGTTTTTGTTCATCAAAGACCCATCACACCCCAATAACGATCTCCTACAACGTCTTCCATCAGGCAGAAGATACAGAAGCCTGAACACACAGACAAGTACGTCTTTTTGATCTGTACATCCTTTGCTTGCTGTGAACTGCCCATTCTGCTCATAAACAAAGCTTTTCACTATATTTCAGTATACGTGACGTTAGAACAATCAACTGTACTGGACAGAAAGACATCATTTGCCCTTGCAGCAGTCCAAAGGCTTCTACCAAGATGGGCGCACCCACAAGCTGGGTTCAGTTCCCCAGGAGCAAATCCAGATAGTTGTCAGGCTGATGGCCTTTGTCATCCACAAATGGTCACAAATCTTTAAGCCAATCAGCAACCCATTGCTGAATGAAACTCATTCAGCGTACAGCCCCTTGTGCCAACATGTCTGCAAACAGCCTCCTCTACTGCTTGAACAAAGCAGCTCTGAAAACATGATTTACAATGAGGTTCAATAACTGGCTTTTATAAGTGCAGCAATTTTATCCCTAACCTTTGGCTTTAAATCAATTCTTTTCTGATTTCAGTCCACAATGGAAAACAAAAAAAAATATATTCTTTACAAATATTTCAAGGCAGTATTTGAATCAATGAGTGAATCTCACTTTGTACACCAATCTCTGGTGCTAGCCAGGATTTAAACAGCCTCCTATTTGGGCTCTTGTTATGCAGTGGTAGTGCCCCTACCTCTGGAGACCTGGGTTAAAGTTGAACTTGCTCCAGAGGTGTGGAATTTCATCTTTGAACAGGCTGATCAGGAAATATCTACAAACAGCCTCCCCCAGGTTTGAATAAAACAGCAGCGTAAACATACGTTACAATGAGTTTCAGTAAGTTTGTTTTTAATTAGTGCAAGAACTACTCCTACAATCCTTGCTTTTAAATTTAAACCACTCCTTTTCCATTCTAGTTCACAATTAAAAATATAGAAAACTAAAAAGATACAGACTTTACACAATGGAGTAATTCTGCCCCAGTAAGAAGTGAAATGGAAATTTATTTACATTTCTCACTTTAGGCAGGTGATTTTTTTTCCTGCTTAGTTATCAATAGTACATATTTAAGTGACAGAAGCAATGGGATATATTTCTGTGAGCAGTAACGCTACACTTCTATCAAAGTCAATGGCTGAGCCCTTGTCGATTGCAATAAATGATAGTGAAGAACATAGAACATAGAACTGTA